GATAGATAGAGACTTTATTGATTCCAAACAGAGAAATTATTGCAGTCATTGCTCAACACATTTTGATTTGTAAATGTACAAATCACTTGATCTATTCTACTTTTTCACTTCATGTGGTATTTGTACAACTACACATGCAACAAGTAAAAATCAGATACTCATTTCCTGCTTGTGAAACAGAGCTTACCTCCCCTCCCAAAGAGGTGTAGAATCTCCTCTGTTCCTTTTTACTCATTCGTTTTAGGGCCATATTGACTTCTTGTCACCATAAACTGCAAATGGAAAGAAGACACAACAGACATTAACAGTTAGAGTGATTCTTTAGATATCCAAAAGGAGAATCCTTACAGAAAGGAATGTTCTTTTCAAAATCTTGATGTTATGCTATGTCTGCTTTCAGTATTATTTACAGTATGTTTACAGTGGAGCAGCATGCACATTCAGCTTGGGCTCAACTAACCTTTATAAAGTTGAGTCTGCCAGCCCTCAGTACACAGAACTGTCGCAAATCACTGATAACCAGCTTTTCCAATTAAACAGCATGGATATTATGAACACTCAAATTTATCCTAACTTTTCAGCATTAACACAGGTCTTGGACAGTGTACCAAGCCATGTCTTGGGTGCATTATGTTAACCAACATGCTCATTCAACATCAAATTCAGGTCAATAACAGCTTCATAAAAACACAAGATGACAAAATTCACCACAAACTCACGAATAGATCATTCTTTTGGCATTTTCATCTGCCTGGGCATGGAAGGTCAGAGTCTCAATGCTTCTACAAGTGTTATTAAGTATTACCAGTAGGCTAAAATAAATTAATAAAAAAAATAAATTAACAAAAATCCAAAGGCATCTTGGAAGAAAAATTACATAGAATTACAGAAACATTGAGCGAGAAAAACTGTTGCAGAGCTCATAACACTAGCTTGAATGGTTAAAATACTTTTTGGTCATTTACTTTAGGATTATTTCTCTACTGTCCTTTGTTGTCAGAAAAACACTGGACGGTTTACTTACGTACTTCAAAAACATGCAGATTTGTCAACTAATAGCTTCTTGTATATTTACTGAAAATGGTCAAACTCAGTTAATCAGAAGCTACAGTTTATGGAGCATACAAAACTTAAATGGCCTATCAATTCCTACAATTAGGCAAAGGGCTGTAAAACTAAACCTAATGATGACCTCAGCTAAACATGCCTCACTAACCCACAAATAACCTCAGGTTAAAAGGGCCTTTGTGTGGTGGAGTTAGTCGCTTCATTAAAACCTAAATTAGTTCGCAAACCATGGATTTATGTTATAATGACGAATGGATGTAATCATTTAAATTTTGAAAATAAAATTTCAAAGAAGTTTACAACATACTTGAGGGAGATTGGACTTTAAAGCAGACATGACTTGTAAAAGAATTTAAAGTGAAATTATGAAATTAAATTGGTGAACAGGGTAAATCAAGACAGAAGTGATTCTAATGAGAGTGAATCTGGGGTATATGCATTGTTGTAAAAGTTAAGGAGTTCACTTTTATGGTTCATCACAGAAGTGAAGTTCACTTCTGCAGCTGGTTTATGTTTATGCACTTTTATCCAAAGTGACTTACAATGCAAAAACTCTGCCTAGAGTTTAAATGAGTTTTTTTTTTTCTGAAATAGTTGATTCAGGCATAATAACAAATAATATTGATGTTATAATTAGTTTAATCATTAACAGGTCAGTTTAAAAAAATGGAGAAATAATCCCTTCTGGGTAAGAATAGAAACAAATAGAAAGAACTTAAATAAAATATCATGACAATATCCCACGTTACATATTTAGATTTTTGTTGACACCATAACATAGAGGAAAAAACACTAAATAAACCTAATGGAATATCACTGATTTAAAAATGCTGTTATATGACAAATGTGTGGTGTCTACTGGTGTTATTTTCTGTTTGTGGTTTAGCTTTTTGACTAAATTGTCAACATCTGATACACTTGAAATTGAGCTGACATAGTTAGAGGTCAGTATTGGTGATTGTAAAGTTAATAGACGTTTAAGTATTGTGATGAATAAATTAAAAAAGAAAAAAAAATACGGTGGGACATAAGTGAATGAACCTGACACACTGCAGCTCTTCCTGCTCACGCACCCGCAGAAATAGCAGCAAAAACCGGCAGGTGAAGAGCTGTGAGAGGAAAAGTCCTACCTTGGACTGCAGGAATTGGGCAGCCTGTCAGAAGCCTGGACAAAAACAACACATTCCCGTGAACCGTCTCACCAGGACCCCCCCAAACACCAGCAGCCCCCGGGTTGTCCTTTCACATCTTTCCGCATTTCCCCTTCATAATGATCCGGTCCTGTTTTGTATGCGTGTGCATGGAAACGCTGCGGCCGGGGCGCATGCGCACTCCGGTTCTAAGAGCTGGCATCAGGAGTTGGAAAAACCGCATAACTGTGAAATCCCGAAAAAGAGTAATCATTTATTATTTTATTATTATTCCAAACCTGTTTATAGCTACTATAATTGTTCTCTTAAAACATACATTTAGCCGTAATTTTCCATTTGCAGCATTTATTTATTCATATGTTGCTATCGACGTGGCGCTGTTTGATATTATGAGATGTAAACAAAACTTTTTTCGTCTTAATTTACGGATAATTCTTCCCCCAGCTTATGCACCATGCCTAAAACACACAGTGTCTTTGAGAAGACAATCAGTAGATTTGAATATTCTTTTGGATTCCGCAGCGGTAACAGCAGGAGGAGGAGGAAGAGGAGGAGGGGGAGGAGGAGGAGGAGGAGGAAGAGGAGGAGGAAGAGGAGGAGCCCGATGGGCTGCACAGGTGGTGTCCATTTACCTGGCCAGCAGCTGAGTAATCTTGGAGGAAAAAAAAGTGTGAAAGCTGAACCTTTGAACCTCACACTGTGACAAACGTGTGATAATCACACTTAGAATTAAATATATTTAAATCTGCTATTAGAACACATTGCCTTCAGAGATGCTCCATCAATTTACTTCTCAATGCATATTCACGGGAATATATGTCAAATATAACAATACAATGTTTGTCAACTGTCACCATGTCTACCACACCAGCATTTTAACCAACTGAGTCATAACATTTAAGGAGAGATTGACTAGAAAAGCAGGACTCTTACACACCACAGTGTACATTTGAACTTTATGCACATGTTCCCATCCCTGTTGTAATCAGGGACAGTTTATTCAAAGGGGATATCATCAGCCTCTTAAAGTGCTTGTAGGATCTTCCATTAAAGCCATCAAAAAATAGTTTGGATTCATAATGCCAAATGTATCATATTTGATCTGGTTTCTGAAGTCTTTTGGATCTGAGACTTTTTTCATCATTCAGTGGTAAAAGCTTTGCTCAAACCCCTGTTGTACACATTCAGATATACCTGATAACAGCCAGTAGAAGACTACACCAACATATATTTTTGACTTATTGCACGCTGATTTGATCAAAATAATTTCAGTTTCTTTTCTTCATATGTTGTTGAGGGGCCAAAGAAAGACTTCAGACTAAAGAAAATCCAATATTCTTCCTATATTTCTTGGATCAGGCTTTAAAGGGTTTGCAGGGCTTTGGTTTTACAGGACAAATCTGTGATTAGGGGTTAGAACAGAATGAGTGTGGATAAATGAATCCAGCATAAATCAGATTACCCCAAACCCTGGCCTCATAAAAAAGAAAAGAACACTTGACAAAATGCTAAGACAGGGGGGAACCACTCCAACTAATTCTGCCCCTGAATAACAGCCATTTAGGGCTCTATGACCAAATCAATTAGTGACAGAGGCTCCAGAATTAAATATCACGCAAGGTAGACGTGCAACATACGTAAGATATCACGTATCTTTAAAAGAAAATTCTGTGATTGACAGTTTAGCTTGTAAAATCGGTGTAATCATCAGCCCCTCTCAGTGTCAACACCACAACACGTACGCTGTCAACGCTGCTGCCCAGTGCGCATGCGCTCCCTCATCCCTCTCTCCTCTCTCCATCTATCGGTGAGGTTCTGTTCTCTACTTGACAGCTGGCGGCGAGTCATGCCCACGATCCAGCCCCGAGCATCTCACCAGCCTTAGACCAGGACCCCGCACCCTGCGGAACCGGTTTATCCCCACCCCCCACCCCCCCACAGAGGGATGGAGCGCTCCTGATCCCGGCCCGACGTCAGGGAGAACTGGGCTTTTCCTCGCATCTGGGATCCGTGCGGACGCGTGCAGGCCTGAGCATGTCTACGCGGGAGAAGGGGGTTCTCACCAAAGACAGCGTCAGCCTGCTGCCCTGTTTCTATTTCGTGGAGGTGAGATCTGAATCAGGAACCCTCTCCCTCCGTCTCCATCACACCGGAGCGTGTGGATTTAGTTTGACGCGGTTGTGTAACTGTCATCAAAGATCTATGAATAGACATCAACCTCAACACGAGGTCCCTATAAATAATAAGTCAATTGGCGAAATGATTGACCGGAAATATTGGAACCTTGTTTATTTTGTTATTTTAATGTGGAGGGTATTAGTAAAAATGATAAATACAAACACAAAAATGACGGTAACAGTTATGTTAACCTGCGAAATGCAATCCCCTATGCTGTGCAAATGAGATATAAAAATAGTGAGGAGCTCCTCTGTGGTATGCTCTTGTTCTACAAGACAGAAATCACATGATTTGACCAGGTTTTGTCTTTTAAAAGAAAATTATAGTAATTAAATGACATATTTTTCTTGGATGAGTGAGACATGTGTTTGTCAATCTACTGTTCAGACAATTTTACAAATGTGTATATATATCTATACATATATATATATGTATATATATATAGATAATGAGGAGAATGAAGAGCAGATTTCTCACTCTTCCAAGAAGCATGAAGAAACTCCATTGTGACAGGTAGTGCAGCCATGATGAAAAGGCTTCAGTGTTTAGTGGTGACCAAACGTGATCCATCTTACAATAATGGAGTGTCCCTTTCTCTCTCTGTTTTCACGTGAGGAGTTACACATGAGAATGTTATGTAAATGCAATGATTTGAAAAAAATCCAAGTGCAGACAACGGGCGGCTTTTGGTTACTGTCACTCATTCCGTGGCTGCATACTTTATTCATGCTCTAATTCACCGCTGGCCTGTGGCACGAAAATCAAACTGGCATCATGTATTATAAATTTGCCTCTAATACTCTGTGATGGTTGCATTTGACAGTAACATTTCTTCTGGATGCTTTTACCAAAAGGGACTTTCTAGGTGTTCTGCCAATTATTTTATTGAAGTGGATTTATTTAATATATTGTTTTTCAAACTTCAGAATTCAGTTTTTCTAATTTCCATAGTGGTAAAAGTGTAAAAAAAAAAGTTTGCATTTTTACAAACGGCAGGCGTTTAAAAGTGGGTCGATTCCGTGAGTTAATTGTAGGGTAAGTACAGTGAAGTGAAGCCCATAATCAAACTCACTGGGGCTCATTACACGAGCCCACGTCACCAGAACAGAGCGGGGGCTGTCGCCCGCTCGCTCCGGCCAGCCCTGCTCTCCGGTCAGCCCTGCTCTCCTGCCAGCCCGGCTGCCATGTCCCATATGGAGAGAAAATCAGAGGTTAGCGATGCCAGTGGATTTGTTTCTCCCCGAAGAGCTCTACCTCTGCTGTTAGAGCTTATGTCACCTCGCTGCTCATTTAACATGAATTTTTCATGGCGATAAGTCTTGGATCTGTCTTGCATGAGACAGGGCTCTCTTGTGTAGTTCGGAGCCTATGCTTTGTTCAAATAATTTTGACATTCACAAATAAACCACATGATTAAAAAAAACTGGGATTTCATAATGCAAAAGATACCATTAAATTTACATGTTTTAAACATTTCTATTGCTAAAAATACCTTGTGACCTTTAATGCTTTCAACCATTGTCTCCTGGGCATTTGGAGAATGTTAGAGTAGCATTATTTCTAGGCAAAGATCAAGAATAGAACCTATAAAAATTGGTGCTTTAAAGACTCCACTGGCTGATTGCACATGTGCTGATAATGAGCAGGTGGAGATCTGTTGGGAAACTGGCTGGATGATCTACATACGTTTGGACAAAGTGCAACGAGACCTAGCTGCGATGCCTCAGGCCTCTTTTAGCCCAAAGTGGAACAAAATGGAGGCTGAACAACTGTTATCCTAGGACTGGGAAAAACAGAAGATTAAACCATGTAACGTGAGGGAGGGACACAGCCATTAGCTGAACCAACCTTTATATCAGCTTCTGGGGATCAGTGGCCTATCGAGACTGACTAATACCCGTGCTTCTTCTTCCAAGTGCTTTTCTAACTTTTAACTATGCTTACAAATGGGTACTTTATTTACTTATCTAATTGATTTCACACTGTCTGACTCATATCCATCACTAATACTTGCAGACAATGTGACCCACCTTACAAAAGGTAATCTGTAAAGTGATGTCAGTCAGTAGCTCCTTCCTTTAATTCAGTAGGTTTTAACACCATTGGCCAAAACAAGACTGTTTCTGACTTGTATCTGTCAAAAAAGTGGCCTTTCTCTGAAGGATTTGCATGTTGTCCACTGTGCAATCAAGGCTTTTTTCAACCATGATGTCACAACCTGCTGTAAACCGAAATTTCCCATTTTGGAATAAAATAGATAAATTAGATACTTATATAGTTTCAAAGCAGATTAACAAACGTCAGAGCCTTAAATTTGAAGTAGTTTGCAAGCCAAGAGCTTTAGTTTTGGTACTAACTCCATGAGACGTTCCCAGTTTTTCAAGGCACATACTGATAGTCTATCTGTATGTTCTCAGAAAGGAATTGAAATGACACCCCTTTTCCAGACATACAAAGAACCAGTCAGTAAAAGGTGCTGTGGGCTTACATGTAGTTGTACTGACATGCTCTCCAACCATTCTCATGGCCAGTGGGGGACATGGTCTCCTCACAATAAGAAGGTCCTCTCAGAGGTTGTGCATGCAGCTCTCTTCGGTCTGTAGAGACCTAACCATGTATGGGTGGTATAACCGGCTTTTATATGGAAAATAATTCCCCCACAGGCTGAAGGCCTGGAAATGCCAGAAGAGCAACAGCTTTCACCATAAAGAAAATATCTCCCAGACTATAACTGAGCCCTAACAGACCTCCAACAAGAATATGAGCTAGCAGCAGCACTCTGGCTTCTGCTGTAGTCTTTATTCCTATCCTCTGTCAGCACTATAGCAGAACTGAAAAAGCTGTTTGTGGGAAATAGACAGAATGATGAAACGAAGAAAGGGTAGAGATTTGCTCAGCTTAGAGGAAAATAGGGTGCGACAGTGATAGCCTTTGGAAGTGACAGAAACAGATTAGCATTAAGGTGAGACAAAGGGGAGATTGGCAGTGAGTGTGAGCAAATGTAGGCCAGTGGAACATCTCTGCCGAGCTGAGCTCTCCTAGAGGAGGTTTTCAGGGAAAGAAAGCCTAAGAAATAAGTCAAATCATGGTCAGTCATTGATTTCTCCATTATTTCACCACCTTGCTTTGTAAGTTCTCACCTAATTCACTCATTACTGTCTTTAAATCTACATTATGATTATTATTAGAAAAGCTATTCAAATTTAAATTCAGATGCTGACTGCTCCAATTACTAAACCTCTTTGGGATTGAACATGAACTTTTCTAGCTCTGTTTTGTTGTCTTCTGGAGGACAAAATCCCAGTAAATCTGTTGTTGTGTATTAGCCATCCATCAGAAGTTTCCAAGCCATAAATATCACATTCAGTTTCACACAGGAAGTAGCTTCACCCTCACAGCACGTAAATAGTGATCGATGTTTATTTTTTTGTTTTTTGTGGTTTTTACTCCTTTGTCTGTATGGATTTACTGGTCTTGACCCCAGAAAAATAACAGAACAGAAAGTTGTTGTTGTTTTTTGATAACGAAGATGCCCCAGTTTCTGTTTTAATTGATTTATTTTTCCTTTTCAATACATTGGATGTTCTTTTTCCTCTTGTAACTGATGGCGGATGTGATAATTTACTTAAGGATGAATTAGGCTTAATTTTTTTCACCTAATAAAGGAGAGTCAAATGAAACAAAAACGCAGGAGTTTTGATGATGGTAAGAAGTTGGAAATGTAAGTGCAGACACACTTCTAAAAGAGGCCTAAAAGTCACCAGAGAAGACCAGTGATGCAGAAAAATACTGCATCTATCAGCGAGAGAATCATTTGGTCAAAATTTCTCTTCAGAAAAAGATAAATCACTACATTCAATAGAATTATCAGTTTTCTAAAGTCTACTAGAAAGTTTTCTGCTGGAAAATTTGGATTTAAATCATCTTACAATTGAAAACGTTCTGAATAAGACAGTATCCTATTTATTAGATAGTATTGTAAAGAACAAAGATGTGATGAACTCAGATGTGTGTATTTCTGATATTACACTTCTTTATTTGAATTCCAACATATATTAAGCCAATGGCTTAATTTGATATATTGGTTCATTACGTACTTTTAAAGAGATTTGAAAAGAAAAAAACCTTTTGGAGTTTTGTATTGCCGTGTAATTTTAAAAGAATTTCACTATATTGCCAAAAGCATTTTTTTAGTACAGCTAAAATACGTAAAACCTAGTTGTTGTTGTTTTTTTAAACACTCAGGCTGCTTTTCTTGAATTTTTCCACGTCACTGAGTGGCTGAACAAATTTGATTTAACACCGTATTTAACAATGTGTCGATTCATTTGACTGGTTTCCAGTTGGGCACCTTAGTCAGGGCGGTGCTCTGGGCCCGGAGCCGACCCAAAAATAACCGCCAGCCAAAGCTCACTGGGGCTGGCTTCCATTTTCTACGCATCTATTATTCAAACGGTTTTATCTCTGATTTTCTCATCTTTATAACAGAGGTCCAGCCAGGACCACACGAGCCATTGGAAGAACTACTAACAGATGAACTTTCAGATTAGTTGAATATGTTTTATGCCTATAGTTATCCAAAGTAACTCTCAAACATACACATGCTGAAACATGTCTTCAAATCTGCAAACCAACCTGACGACAGCAAAATATTAACATGCTCATGTCACACAAGTTATGCAGAGTCTTTACATTGTAAAACATTTTACATTAATCATATTCAAGAAGTTTGTGTGGCACACAAAATATCATTTGAATAAACCTTTATCAGGATCATTATAAATGCCGTCACAAACTATTAAATGACTGGGAAACCCAAGATTCCTCTTAATATTCAGAATAATGCAAATCAAGGGTCTAATTGATGTTGTAATTGATAAAAGGGTGCTAGTTTTGCTTGTGAACTACTAACACTGCACTTAAAAACACAATTTTGATAGGATCAGACAAAAAAAATGGCTGGGTCTCTTTGATCAGACTTAATAATCCCAACACAAAAACAGCTCTCCTGGCCTTTTAAAGGTATTTTTAGTTACTGTCTTTTAGTTGTGTTCTCTATTAGAATAATCCCACACTGCTTTAGTAATCCTGACTAACAAGGTTCTGAGATAATTCTCAGCTATATGAAAGTGTTGGAACTGAGTCCATTTTTTTGTCCAATTTGGCAAGCATACCTTATTAACAGCTGCCTTTACACAGAGGCTATTTCTTATCAGTAAAAGGATCAAGTGAAGGGACAGGTCTACCTATAAGGTCCTTTTTCAGGTCTCTGCTGGATTTTCTCTCTTTGACCTCAGGTAGATCACTTTGAAATATTATTAATATACTTATTTATCAGAACATGGATATTGTAGAAGATATTGACTTGTTTGAGATGACAATGTAGATTAAGAAGTCAACAAATTAGCCAGTCCTGCTTACCTAATTTTATTTGGGAATCACATTCTCCTCTTGAGTTAGGCTAAAAAAAAATTATAATTAAAAGATTGATAAGTTAGTCTTAAGTGGCTTTCCAAATTTACACCTGCGCTTAAACAGACCCGAGAGAGAAGAAATCCAGGAGGAAGAAGTACCATAAAAGTCGAGTGAAAAGTTTGAATTAGTTGGCTACCTTATGTGAGCTGGCTTTTTTTTGTTGATATTCATAATGACTGTAGGTCTGTTTAGGATTTGTAGCAGGCCTTTTAGGACCGTCTAGCATTGGTGGCAGTTTTGTTTAGGACCGTTTAGCATTGGTGGCAGTTTTTTTTAGGACTGTTTAGCATTGGTGGTAGTTTTTTTAGGGACTGTTTACAAGTGGTAGTAGGTTTTTAGGACAGTTTAGCATTTGTAGCCTTTAGCTGAGTTTGGTTGGGGTTTTAGGCATTTTGTCTGCTGTTTGGATGAGTTTTCTGAGTCTTATTATGTCTCCACCTCCTGGACCCTCTATACATTCTTTACCCCCTACCCAAACCAGGGTTTGAATCACTTTTTTATCTTATCTTATTTCTATAACCCCTCTTTTTTATGCCGATGCAGTTGGTTTGGGTCTGGGTTGACTAATCTGTGCCTTTGACGTAAACTTTGGTGGTAGAAGAGTATTAGAATTAATAGTGGTTGTGGTATGAGGAGGAGTGGTGGCTCGAATTGTGGAGTTACTCTGGGGTAATCGCTGTCTAGCCCCTTGGAGGTGTCATGGGCCCAACGAGACCAAACACCGATGAAAGGAGGTTCCCCTTGGTGACGCCAATGACAAGTTCCCTGGCTCAGCACTGCTTACTGATTTAAAAAGGGATCATAGTTTAATTTTACTCGCTTAGTCTGGTCAATTCGTTTGTGTCACAGGTTTCTTGTGTTTAAAAAAAACTACCATACCCATATCGTACCAACGACCATGCCTCATTCAAAGACACTTAAATATCCCTATTTCCCAGTTGTGATGCTCGGTTTGTGCCTAAATGTATTTAGATGCAGCCATGTCATTGGCTGATTACCCATTTGTGTTAACAAGCAGTTTATCAGAAGTACGTACTGAAGTGGCTGCTGTGTGTTTATAGGTCTGTAATTTCTAAAATGAGGCTTTTGAGTTGATTGCAGTTTCTCTGACATCATGATGGATTTGCTAGAACTTTAAGGGTCTGGATGAATTGCCAAGAGATTAGCCCAAAAGTATCAGAGTAGCAGCCATAAAAAGAGCATCAGACTAAAGGTCAAGTAAAAGGGCTCAGGAAAAGATGGTAGTTTTGTCTTTTTCTTTTTCTTAGTCAGTCTGGCAACTGTCTTCAGTGTTTTAAACTTTCAATTTTATATTCAGTTTAAACTTTGAGCTGAATTTTACTTCAAACTGTAAAATTTCTACAGTGGTATTGTTAAATAAAACGGAAAACTAGGAAACTGGAAAATCTCTCGATCAGTTAATCAGGTACATTTGAATTCATAACCTGGCAGATGTTTACTCTCCTCATTGTGATAATTGTGCACTTAGCTTTCCCACAAAACTTTTTATTTTATTTTGGTTAAAGGAATAATCAGAAGCTGTGATTTGTCATAAGGCGCTGGTTTTATTTACCAAATTTGAAAACCTTGTGATGAGTAGATGTCTTTATTTTCTTAATCATATTCTTGAAAGAAAAGGTTGATTAATCATTTGCATGATTTATTTAGCTGTTAACCATGTATTAAATTGAGGCGCAGTAATCCACAGCTTTTTATGAGCTGTATTTTAAATCCTGTCCAATTACCATTCTTTCATTTTTGAAAGGGATCATACGACAAAAAGCTATTTCAAGTTGCAATTAGCTGCAAAAAGACAAACTGACCATGCTGCTCTGCAGGATTCTTCTTTGAAATGTGGAGTGTACAGTGTTGCTGGAGTCTATTCATCTGCTCAACATGCGCACTGTCACTGACCTATATTTCTCGCTAGCACATGCTGAGGTTGTGGATTAGAGGTGAGTGTGCCTGAATGCACCAAGACAATGGACCTGACAGTTAATGGTATATAGGTAGAGTTAAGCCCATGAAAAGTACATGCGTAGTGCTTTACCCATCCCTTCAACCAACATTACCACATGAACCCTTTTGAAGAAATGATACAAATATTCTCTAAATCCAAAATGAAATAGTTTTAAACCTCTTTTTAGCCTGTATTTTTCTTTGATATTGTTCATATGTCGTTCAAGAGCTCAAAAGACATCATTATCATCATGAAAAATATACATGTACACAAAGGTATGTGATATGTATTCAATTTAAGCCCACATAGAACATTCACCATAAAACATGCCCCAGTTTAACTGTCAAGTTATAAAATTAAAAACAGAAAAATTATATAACAATAAGTGTAGCCAAAATGTGCATTCAGCAGAGTTATAGGTGATCAGTGAAGTAAAACACATTTGTTTTCTTTTATAATATATATATTGAAGGAGTCTTGTGTGTTTTACTAATCTATTTGATTTGCTCTAAAGTTTTGAAAGCATTTCTCTATTCCCTCTTCCGTGAACGGAGGTTACTTAGCCAAACCAAAGGTAGATTTTAATCAGATAAGCTGTTGTTTTGAATGGAGCTGTTGTGTTTGAATGTACAAAATGGTGGACACCAGATGTTATGGGATATTGTGCTCACAGATATCAGTCAAAAGCTTTAACACATCTGTTCCCTCAGAATAACTGGAGGGATGTGTTCAGATTTCAGACTGGTACCTTATAGGGTGTAAAAACTAGCAGAGGCCATTGGAATGACCACCTATATGTAGTCCTACCCCTCCTGAGTAGGACTTAACACTTCTGTCCTTTTAGTTATTCGTTTTTATTTATCTATATTTAGAAATATTAATCTAAATATTATATATATTATATTATAATTCAAAATGTTAAGTGTACACTGTATACATTCACACACAATAGCTGCATTTACAAAATTTAATTCATATTAATGAGAACTGAACAAGTTCATAGTTATTTAACCCTAGAATGTTTTTGCTCAGTTTTTCAGAGGGACCCAATTTTCCCTTTAACTTAATCAAAAAGAGTCATCATTGTTGGTGTATGTCGTATTTTATGCAATAAGTTAAGATGAATAGTCGTAGGAGGTTTTAACATGATTCGTTTTCTTCCAATAAAGATAACCCTTCGGGCTCTTCTAAACAGTGTTTCCTGATCTTCTGCCCAGCTTTGTCAACGCTCTTCACAGGATTTGATATCTATGTTGAGTGCCACTGTGACAGGTTAGCTGGGACATCATGATGTCCTAATATTCAGACCTGCTGCGCTATGGTTTTGGCCATGTATAACTTTCAGTCATCAAACTGGGCGTAAAAAACATTTAAGAGCTTTGTCGCATTTTGCTTGTTGGTATTAAGATACTTTTAAACGAATTTTAAATCAAATGAGTGGCTGGAGTTCACTCACGAGCAATTAATTCTAAATGCCGTCTTGCACCATCCTCACCCCTAAGGTCATAAAAAACTATTTCCATTCTTGTGTCCTTATTATCAAATCAAATTACCATGGTCATTGAACCATAGGGTTATGGGGACATTTGCACCCTTCACTGCCTGTTTATCTATTTATGTATTCATTGGCAATCTGCTGGAGCTTCTGCTGTTATGACTTTGAACTGTCTCATGCGGTTTCCTCTTTCCTCTCCTGTCATGTCCACGTTTAGCTCCCCATCCTCATTTCGTCCGCGGTCAGTCTCTACTTCCTGGAATGGACGGATGTGTTTAAGCCAGTGAAGTCTGGCTACAACTGCCATGACCGCAGCCTGAGCCTGCCCTACATCGACCCCAACCATGAAGTCATCCCCTTCCTGATGCTGCTCAGCCTGGCCTTTGCTGGACCAGCCATCACGGTGAGCATCGCTGACACAGCAGAAAATGTTCTAACTAACCAATGTTTGAGGGTTCTGGAGGTTTCACTTCATTGATACATAAGATTCGAGCAGTGGGAAGATTGCTGAGATGGTGAAAAGTCAAAGCCATGGATTTCTCATTGACATAACAAAATAATTAAATTCAGAGCCAAATGAAAACAAAGTGAACAGCATAAAAGAACATAAACATCAAATAAAGCTTGTTAAAACCCAGTGAATAGTTGAAAATTTGTTGTTTATGTAAGGAAGGAATTACCTAAGATGGCCCTGTGATCTTCTTCTTAGAAAATAGCAAAGGTTGACAGCAGCAATCTGCAGCTTTCTATATATGTTGTACAGAACGTTTCCAGGATTTAAAAGAAGAACACTAAAGCAAGTTTTAAACAAAGTCCATTGAACATCCACAAATGTACTTCTGTTTTGCTTAATGGACGTCTTCTTCTGTGTTTTGACCTTTGACCATTGACCATATTCAATGATCAGGTTCATCTCCACAATTTCCAAATGTTCATTTCTTTATTGGAACATTATTTAGAGATTATTCGCCTCATGTATAAGACTTATAAAAAGGGGAGGAGCAGTTGCTGATGTGTACGTATGTGTACTACCAGCTCGGGCATTTTTCTAGAGCTACTCAGGGAACTCATAGAACTGCTTTAGCTTTCAATTGTCAAAAGAGACTGTTGCTTTATTCCATGCCTGAGAAACTTATGTGATCTGGCTTGGCAGAAATTGGCAGAAATAAATCCTATGTAACTTAAAACATCCGTTCCCAAACACTACATCTACTGAGTTAAAGATTTGAATAAAAAAAAAACCCTTCAGAACAAAGACTATATATTCATTGTGTTAGTTTCTTTATTCAGGCCGTGTAGTATCTTGGCACAGCCAGACCCTGAATACGGTTCCACTTCCAGTTCTAATCTCATAGATAGATTCAAATGCTGAGAATACTGTGTAAAGGGAAGCACCCATCCACATGTTCTCTGGCCTGGCCTTCAGCAGTTTGGGCTGGAGGGTGTTGTAACTGATTTACTGGAGCCCCTTTTGCCTCTAGCATGTCAGACAGAGATAGCAGCCAATACCAAATATAATAAAAAAAATTATACTGCCACTTTATTCACATGAATTCATGAAAAACAAGTCAGTTGTTGCCCCGGATCTCCGGAGGACCAAAAGCCAGAGAGGTGCCACCTCAGATTACCCAGCTAGCCTGCGGTAAAAACAACCACACCATAAAAGACTTCACACCAGTAATGTAACAGCTGAACACTCCAGTGCCACCAGAGGATTCTGACACCAGAAAGTCAAATCTGACCACACACTTGGGCAGTCTACGTGCATGCCTGATCTGCAATACCTCGCACCTGTAACCGCTACAACGCCTGGGAATCCAACTTATCTTTTCTATAAGTCCATCATAACTACTCACACACAAACTCACACACACTGCAAGTGCTACAAGCCACCTTCACAGACAGCAGTACAACCTCTTCCTCACGCTGAAGACTGGGAATAGCTCAGGACATCATTTCCCTACTGCCCTCACTGGGACTGGGTGCTGCTGGACCACAGGGTTGTAGAATGGTGAAAGCAGGACTAGATGTGGTCAGACCTGCCCAGTGGTGGCAGCCTAGTGCAGGTGTACACTTCATTTGTATTCTCTTAGGGCAGATCTAGAGTCTTTTTATCAAGTGTTGCACATATGACGAACTGGTCAGAGGTTAGGAGTGTTTAATGGAGAGGAGCATGGTTAACTCATTGACTGGCAGCCATTTTCAGAACAGAGTCCCATACTGCCAGAGTTTTTTGAGCATTTTGACTGATTTTCCAAGAGCCACAGAATAGTTTTTGCTATGACTATGTAAACACCGAACACACTCCTTTCATCAGGAAAAAATATTTGTGTCTACCTTATTCCGTTCTTCCTCGATTTGCGTCTCACCGGTGCCATTTCTCTCATAGCGAACCATTGCGTTTTTCTTATTTGCATACAATCTATGCTAATCTCCAATCAAAAGTGGCACTGCCCCCTAGAGGCTCAATTTGTTTGTACATACTCTGTCTAGAAGCCGATATTTACGAACAAGCTTTAGCAGATCGTCCCCCAGCCACTCTCGTTGAAAAACATAAAAGATGTCTATAGACGTCTTTGGCAGTCAACGGTTGTATTTGAATTGACGTCTATAGACGTCTTTGGCAGCGAATGAGTTAAGGTCACCTGTGATGATGATGATGATGATGATGATGATGATGATGATGATGGTGGTGGTGGCTGCCCTGGGGTGTTTGGTGTGTGATCCAGCACTCACGGTCCCAGATGGAGGGTGTCTCTTCTTTCAGTGGACCTGTGATGGGCTAGCAACCTTCCCAGGGTTTTTCTCACCTTTCACCCATTGACAGCTGAGATTTCTTAAAACGGATACTAAACCTCAGCCCCATCACGGTCCTCTGTGCTGGAAGTCGTGTGCAAATCTCTGAGCTCAGTTCTGAAAATGGCTGACACAGATTGCAAAACATAGAACACGGGAATTCTGTCCGCCTGCATGAATTCTTTATCTATACGCAGTTATTATTCATTTATGAGCACCGTTATAGCATTTACACATGGCTCTTTTTTTCTCTGTTGACCAGAAGTGAAGTCTGTGTTGCGTATTGGCTAAGATCACAAAACAAATGCACAACTGAATTTACACGTACACATTTTGATACATAAGTCCAAACTCTTTGGTCTTTTATGTCATGTAAGGGTCTAGGCTTTATTCTATCCATTCATTCTATACCATTCATTCCTTGTAGGACCTCTTGGGGCTAAAGCATTCATAAGCTGTCAGTGGGTGAGATGTGGTGTACACCCTGGTCAGAGAGCCAGTCTCTTGCACGGGAAATTTAGAATCTCCAATAAATGGGAGAAAGTCAAAATACAGCCATGCATATTTGGGGAGAACCCACAAGCTCCTCAAGTCCTCTGTCTGAGATTCAAACCAGGAACCCCTCTTACTGGACGGTGACAGTGCTGACCAGCACACCCCCACGCAGCCCTAATTCTGGATCCTCCTCAAAGATAACAACCAGTGGGAACCATGTTCCTGAAGAACAGGACGTTACACCACTTCTCCTTGGTCAGGAGTGCATCGTCACAAATCTTAATAGCGTCATAAACAAAACAAAATAACCCTGTTCACGTACACTAAATACTAATAAAATATATTTTACAGCAGACTTAATTGTGCTCACCAGGCTTAGTGTAATGGATGCGTTCAAACTGTAGATTGATAGCATATGTGGTGTGAAACCTAACAAAAGACCATGTAAAATGCTTCCTGAGCCTAAAAACTAACAAGAGCTAGAATCTATGCAACTGGAAATTAACTTTAGTTTAAAATCTTTGAAAAATGCTTTTGGTTGCAACATTCAAAACATAGAGATTCAAAGAAATGAACAAATAAAAAAACTCAGCAGATTTTTTTGTAATATGTAATATGACTGTTGGCAGAACAAATCAAAGCATTAAACCTCAAGAAAAATCTGAAGCAAAAACAATGCCGAGCCGCAGAGTTGAAGCTTGAAAGAAAACTCAGCTCTGTGCAGCAGATCAAAGTTGTGCACATCTCACACAGCCTATATCTCCTCCAGGTGTCAGTGAGGTTTGTTTTATCCTCCGTTTTCACGCTGCCCTCTGACAGTCTCAAGATTGTGTTGTCCGACTTGCTTTCCTGCAATGACCTCAGGCAACCTCTCACTTTATGTGATATCTCTACCAGCTTTAGAATCTCACTATTTTTCTGAGCTGTTGCTCATCCTCCAGGCTCTTAGTAAAAGGAATTCAATTCCAGTTTACTCTTAAGAAGCCTATGGAATCTCAAAATACCATAGCCAGATTCAATCTGGTGGGTTTTTTAAAACATATTTTGTCACCATCGGCTTGGGAATGACAAAAAGAAAAAAGAAAAACTATGAGCTGCTTCAGTGGATTTTCTGAGCTGCTGAAGTGACAATCACGGCAGTTTTGACGAAGAATATCTGCTAAAGGGTTTGTTGGAATTAATGCAGGATTTGGTTTTTGTGTTAATAGTTAAGCAAGATACCCATACTCTGTTTGTGTCTGGGCCTCTCCTAATTTTTTCCATGACCCAGAAGCAGTTCTAGCCTTCATTGTGAGTTTAAGTTAGATGCACAGGTCAGTCTTCAGGTTAAATCCCAGCCTGCAACAAAATCCTGAAATGCCACGACAGAATTCATTGAGTTTATAATCACCAGATTATGACATACAACAACATTTTTCAGTGGTAAATCACATTATAATTTGCCCAATCAGACAGAGAAACAGACTGTTAAACTTTATCATTTTACAAAAGCCTGGACAGGCCCACATTGTGGGTGTACATGAAAGAATAAAGGAAAAGGGTTCTTTTCAACTTACTATATTTAGGTCAGTGGTTTTACATCAGCAGGATAATTGTAACTGTTCATTTGTAATTGCAGTAGATAGATTCGCCCACATTGGGACATGTCTAAGAATTGGGAGTGGGAAAAGCGGTTACCAAACGAACACTGCAAGACGAATACGCAGAACAATGTATAAAGAAGTACAGTTAATATACATGTAGTGCAACACTAAACTAAAGGTAATGCGTTTACATGGTACAACTAAAAAAGTCAGTAAAGAGCTGTATGGTTATGAAAGAAATGTACAGATGTTTTCTATCATTTATGATGGACAGCATATCTTTTAGCGTTCCCTTTTTTCTCTGGAGATCCCACGGACTGCACCAGCCTGTAAAACATTCCAAAATTTTTAAATTGTAAACTAGCCCCGACCTTCTGAGAAAGCAAATCTGACTGGACTCATTTTTGTTTCGCAAGCTCAGTCCAGTCTTACTTGTCCAGTTTAAGCCTTTGGTCAGTGAGTCTTGACCCCCCAATTAAGATTAGTATCTGGAAATTTCCCACCAGGTTCAATTGAGTTCAATTCAGTATTGATTAGAAATTAAAATGATAATATTTCTGTAATTATCCTCCTCATTGCAGCCAAAGAGCAACGCAAGAGGGCAATAAATCTGAATATTTAAGGAAATAAATATTAATATTAAGGAAATAAATAAGGAATATTAAGGAAATAAATAACAATAGAGAAAAGTCAGTCCTCCTCCTATGCCATGGCCATTGAATCATTGAATCATCAACGTTTACTTGTAAGCGGTTCTGATAAAAGTAATTGTGTTAACAGATAATGGTTGGAGAAGCCATCCTGTTCTGCTGCCTCTCTCGGAAGAAGAGTGGAGCCGGGGCTGAGGCCAACATCAACGCTGCAGGCTGCAACTTCAACTCCTTCATACGCAGAGCCATCCGCTTTGTTGGTACATTGATTTTTGTATTAGTTTTATTCTTTGCACAGTGGCCCATATCCACCTTCCCAAAGTGTTTTTTTTATATAAAATTTGAAAGGTAGACTTTTGATGTTTCTACATAGACGTGTGTATGTCTATTTTATATTGAGACTATAATGTTTTGAATGCGTCTCATACTTTTGATGCAACTGCATGTGCATGTTAACGTATTTTGAATATACAGATAAACTTTATTGTTTGTGTTTTTCATCTATTTCTACATTTGCCTTTCTGGCCTCTGTCCTCAGGTGTTCATGCATTTGGCCTTTGTGCCACCGCCCTAATTACTGACATCCTCCAGCTAATGACTGGCTATCCAGCTCCCTACTTCCTTACTGTGTGCAAGCCCAACTACACCACACTTAATGTCAGCTGTGAGCAGAACCCCTATGTCATGGAGGATATCTGTTCTGGGGCAGACCCGAGAGCCATCAATCAGGGCAGGTGAGGAGCAAAGACAGGGGCAGAGAAATGCTGCACTGAACAAGGAAATATGTTTTAAATCCTTTTACAGCCCCGTCATAGAAGGCAAATTGCAAATATGTACATCAAGATGAACCCAGTGTCCTTTATAAAATGTGCAATGTATGGATACATATTTGAAATACTAGATAATTCTGAGTTATCAGGACATGAGAGAAAATCAGAACGTTTTGCTTTCTGCTGCAAGATTTGAAGGACGTAACAAAAGTATTAGCATTATTTATATCTTAAAATTATGACATAAAAAGGAAGCTTATAGGTATGTAAGGGGCTCTAGAAATGAATAATACAAGAAAAAGTAAAACATAAAAAGTTGGCATACATATACCCCCCTTACCCCCACATGTGTCTGCTGTAAGCTAAACTGTAATTTAAAGAACACAGGACACATGAGTAAAACAACTGTATTTAAATCTTAAGAATTCTTATCTTAGTAATGCAAGCTTCCATCCATTTAAAAGTGTTTTTATCACTACTCCACCCAAAAAAACAGAGCCACTGTGTCCAGATCTTAGCTTGACATGTTATTGTCCCCGCAGAAACACTAGTTGTAAAGCCTTTCATTAAAAACTCCCTTCAATGTGTGTTCCCTCAAGGGACACACAACAAACACAGGTCAGCATAAAGCACAGGTGAGAACACAACACAGTGGTTGTGTATACAAGATGCAGTGTTATCGGGTCAATTCACAGGCAACACAATGTAAGCCAGAGACAAAAAGAGGCAAGATATCAACACAAAAAGCAAGACACAATACCAATAAGTGATCTCATGTCCTCCCTATTGGAGCAGTGGGAGATTTAGATCATGCTGTTGCTAGTTGGGGTAAATTATGTTATAATAATAATAATTATTATTCATTATTATTCATTCTAAAACAACTACTTTGAAATAATGCATTTAAGATATATTGTAATTCATCCATAATAAGATTTTTATTTATTTGCCTGGTTATTTCATAACTAAAATTGGGTCATTTTACTTAGAAATACTGCAGTCACCTTTCATATGAGAATGAATTTTTCATGACTCCTCAGATGTTGCAAATGAAAATTAAATGAAAGGCACACAGATGCACACAACTGCTTGAATGCACCAAGATAAACTCATTCACACTAATGCAGAGTTAGATGTGAGGATGGGGAGGTAGTTAGAAGGGTGAACATGGGAGCTGTCGGAAGTAGGTCACTGGGATGGAGCCAAGTGAAAAACTGGGCCACAGGTTCACTTTCCCTTCCATTGTGATATTAATGAAAAGAAGAAGAAATAGAAGACGAACATGTGTCAACTGCAATTAATCCGATTCAGTGATTTGACACATAGCAAAAGACGGTTTATATATCTTATGTATGCTTGTGCTTTTTTTGCTTCTGTTGACTCACAAATGCAGATGAGACATAGGCTAAGTCTGTTTCTGTTCTTTCATCTCTTTTAGAAAATCCTTCCCTTCGCAGCACGCTACTCTCGCATCCTTTGCTGCCGTCTATGTTTCGGTAAGCAGTTGTCGAAGCCCTGCTGCTTGTTAATTGACCAAGGATCCAGATCAAAATAAAGCTTATATTTATTCTAGGCAGAGCACAGATTCATTGTTTGTTTTCAGAGCATGTGCTAATAATTGCCCTGAAGCATATTTTTTATCTAGCTGGCAGCTTTTTTTTTTACCAGTCTTCAGGCACCTAACCCATAAGGACCAAAGTTAACAAAGAGGTAATAACCAAAGGAAAAAATAAATAAACATACGAGAAATAGCCTGTCTTTTATATATCTATATATTCTATTCTATATTCTATATATTCTATATTCTATTGCTTCGACAACAACAATGGGTAAATTGGATACATTCATTTAATGTACCAATATAAAGAGGTACTGTGTTATATCAACTTTGTGTTCAGTTTGTTTCCATAGGCTCTAATGGTCACATAGCCAATAGCTCGTTTATTTAATTTTAGTAGTTCGAACAGCTGCAAAAGGAAGAATATAAGATATTATTCAGAATGGAAAAAATTATTATGTTTTCTAAGTATTTTGTTTTTTATGTTATCAGGTAATGTGGCTTGGTAGAGTTGTTGAATATGTGGTCCAGAAAATGCTGAAAAATAACCAAGACATTCGGTGTGTTAACAGATGTATTTCAACAGCACACTGACAGACTCATCCAAGCTACTTAAGCCCCTGCTGGTCTTCTCCTTTGTTATGAGTGCCATCATTTGTGGTTTGACCAGGATTATTCAGTACAAGAACCATGCGATTGATGTTTACGTCGGATTCCTGCTTGGAGGTGCTATTGCTGTGTACCTGGTAAGACACAATCTAATCTTTATCCCTATCTTGTCTATTCAAAATTGTGCAATGCTAAAATCATATCTCAAGATTGTTCCTTTTTGTGTTTCTGCTAGTCTGGGTATCAAAGCATTCCTTCAAACATAAAAGCATCTGTCTGTGTTGCTGTAAAGAAGCTAGTATCACAAAAAAGTACTTATTTCATGTGTTACCAGGGATTGTATGCAGTTGGAAACTTTCAGTCTAGTGAAGAGGTCACCACCAGTCCTCCACCGCTGATACATCACCCCACTTGCTCTTTGCCTCATGTAAGTCAAGAGGCCATTATTCACCACCTACAGATGAAAGCGGGTATGGCCGGTGAACCTGGCATACCGACCTCCCATTCTGAAGGCTTGCTTCACAGAGCACTGCAACAACAGAGGCCTGACGACAGCCTAAAGTCCTCTGGTGCAGACGTGGAAGTGATCTCCCAATGCAACCCCCATAGCAAAGATGCTATGATGACTTTCAGCCACACACTCCCTCGGGTTCACACTCCTCAGGCCATAGCGGCATATGAGGAAGCCGCCAGACGCCACGCTGCCACTCTCCACCATGCCTCCATGGACTCCAGCCGCTCAAAGCAGCTTCTGTCCCAATGGAAAAGTAAGAACAACAACCATAAGTGCTCCATGCTGGTCACAGAGTCCTTCTCCTCCTCCGTAGACTCATCATCAGGTCAATCCTCCCAGCATCCCCACCACCATAGCAGCATGGAGCTTCGGTCTAGCTCTGAACCATCAGCCATGGGCCTGAATGGTTGCCTTGATGGCCATGCGTACATGTCTAAGCTGCCTACTGGTGTAAGTACCACCCTGCCCAGTAACTGCAGCGGCATTGCCGGAGGAACCCGGGTATCGATGCAGTCTAGGCCTGGTTCTTCGCAGCTAGTCCACATACCAGAGGAAGCCCATGAGAATTACAACAGGACAATTGAAGGAGAAGGAAGTGAGGTCATGCCACCAGAGCATAGTTCTGTTCAGGCTAACTGGCAAAGGGCAGCTGAGAAGACTACAGCGTGCAGGACTAAAGAAAATATGCAGAACATCCAGCCTCGAATCATGCAAGTTATTGCTATGTCTAAGCAGCAGGGGCTACTACAAACTCATTCCAAGAGCTTAGATGAGAGCAGCATAGGCTGCAACAGTAATGGTAGTTGCCAGGGTTCTATTCGTTATAAGGGCCTCACCGATCAAGAGCCAACCTGCACTACAGGGCCAAGTTCACTGGCTAGCACTACAGGCAGTATTTCAGGAAGCACTGGAGCAATTGTGAGAGTAGAAGCCCACCCTGAAAATAACAGACCAATGATCCAAGCCCCGTCCACAGATGGAAGTGGGTCATGGCGATGGCGGTCCCTGGATCATGGCACAGGGACTGGGGGTAGTACAGGATCGAGCGGAGCTGGTATTGTAGCTCAAGGACAGGGAAGTTTGAGGCCGTCTTTTGAGCATAATGATCTAAATGTAGACTCTGAGAGCTCAGACTCAGTCCGTGATGGGTCAATTGACAGGAAGCGTAGCAATCACATTGTTACCACCACTTCTACTGTTGGCACGCCACCCATTGTAACTGTTCACACCCAGAGCGCCGGTCAGTCAGAACAGAGGGCCCACCCTCAGGGCCTCTCGACCATAAGAGTCACTCCTGGGGATGGCAGTGGCTCGGGATCTGGAGGAGGTAGTGGAGGAGCCGCAGAGACCACATCAGAAATTCCCTCAGTGGCTTCGAGTCGTGAGTCCACACTGCGGAGGAAAGGCAAAAGTATCATCATGATCCCAGAGAGAGCCAATAGCCCCGATAATGCCCTGAACATTTTCTACAAGGGCACATCAATTACTCCAGTTTTTAAAGATTAAAATACAAAATAGCTGAAATATCCCAATGCAGCAGTGGATGATGGGTAGCTGAAGAGACAGAAGTCAGTATTAATTATCAAAGTATATACCTTAAAAAGAAGAGATTTTATGTAGCATGATTTTTGTACATGTTTACACGAAAGCACAACCGTTTAAGTGTTGTAGAAATAATCACTGTGTTCTTTTGTGGTCAATCTAGACGAAACCTATTGTAATGTTAATGCTGTAACAGTAGCTATTGGGGAGGGGAGAACCTTTTTTAAATGAGCTGTATGTTTTGGATTACAGAGAAAACACAAAAAAAAATGTTAAACTGAGTCAGGCAGTTACATTTAAAATGTAATTCACCTCTGCAAAATGATTTAATCATAGCTGTAAAACCAATGTTTACTTCCCTGCATTGTAAATACGGTCCATGCCTGAAAGTGGTGCTACACCAGCAATTGCTATTTACATATAATATAACATAATCCGAATAGAAAAATAATTATTTTACATATATTTACAAATAAGAAAAATAATATTTAACATGTTTTCTATTGTGCATCTGTACAAACGCCACACATTCAACAGAATACTGTTTGAACCATAAGTGTGCTTAGAGGTCCTCCTGTAGCTATGAAATCAAATATGAAGTGACTTGCACTGAAATAAGCGTTTACTTTGCCCTCTAAATTGTATATCCCAATCTTCATTCATATTAAACTGTACATACTTTTTTCAAAAATCTATGTAACACATAAACAACACGAAGTAGAAAAAAATTAATTCTCATCATGTGATAGAAATCATATCTTTCAAAAAGTTAGAGAAAATCTTGATCTCAAGTATCTTAACAATGTTTTTGCCATTTTGTGAACCATCTGAAAATTAAACCATAAGTAATTTCATATTAAGCCAAAACAAAGACGGACAAATACATTTTATCAAAATTGTTAAACCGCTGTGAACTATTTACATGCATTGCACTAGCATACTACCCAATTTTTTCTTTTTAAAAATGGAATTTTATCCCTAATTCATTTATCCCTAAGCCAGTTTTCTACTTCTGCTTGAGCTATTGTTTACGGTTGCTAGGTTACACGTTTTCCTGTTGATTTAAATGTTTGTTTTTTTGTCACTGCAGATTTCTTTACCTTTGATAAAAGGAAATGGCTGAGGTGGATCATTGGTTAGATAACATGAATTATGAATTATTAGAGAATCAAGGCGTATAAGTACCTGCACAGCAACAATTTCAAAACAGTGAAACAAGGCAATTGTCTTTTTCTTAAAGCGGCCACAGAGCGGAGCCAGAGTATTTGACAAGCTAAACACTGAACGTGGGTCAAGCAAAGGGAAGAGACAATCCCTGTCACTGATCTGGATATCAGAATGTTTAGATCCCTGAAACAGAAACACTGGGCTGAAGGGAGGCTGTGACCATGGCATCATGCTGCCCGCTAAGTGTTAAAGCTTTGTGTGGCCTTTATGGCCCAGTATCACACACAATATTAACAAAAAAACATTAGAAAAATAAGAAGCTGTATATGACAACAAATTTAAAAAACAACTAATTAATATGATGCGGGAAAAAGAACAAATGTGCAGAACATATTCATTTGAAAAAATGTACTGAATGCAAAGCAACTGACCTTAAAGGAAAAATAATGGATAATTTTGAAGAATATTTATCTCACTTTATTATTAATTAAGTAACCAAGTCAACTTCTAGTTTATATTTTCAGAAATGTTGGACCAATAAAATAGAGCATGGTGAAGAAATGGTGTCTCTTAAGACAATATTTCTTAACATCTTGTTCGTTGTCTTAATTTTTAAAGGACAATCATAGCGTTATAAATTGAACTTGGATCAAAACATATGAAAATCAAAACAGATGAAAAGATCTTGATGTGGAGGTACAGATGACTAAAGTGTTAATTCCCCACTGGTGATTGTGTCAAACACCAAAGGCATATTCTTTAATAATAACAGGAAATAGACAATGTGACATAAATTCTGAATAAGTGGCAATTTGAGTTCAATAATTGGCTCATGGAAGTAGCAATCTCTAATGGCAGCCTACGTATGCTCTTACAGAGACCTGTGGATGGTAACAATTAGAAAAAGTATTAACCTTATTCCTGTGTACAATTAAATCGTGCCATAATCAACTGTATTCATCGTAGCAAAACATTTGTAATGGAGTTGGATTGACAGTAAAGCTAGTTATGTAGCAGTTTTCTACAGGACAGCAATTATCAGTTTATTTCAATATGTGCTTTTGCTAACAGGAATAACAAAGTGAAATGCGATTTTTGTTTTTATTCCCTCTTCACCTTCACGTGCTTGAAAAAAAGCACAGCACATTCTTCCAAATATTGTATGTGCTGTCATTTCTTATCGTGTAACCAGCAGTTTAACTGTTTGTGTGCCATAAAGTAGCTTACATTGCGGCACATATCAGTTATTTCTGTCTTAGACTGTCTACGTTTTTCGATATTTGGCATAAAAACTTCAATGTTGGCACCAAAAGTACCATTAAAACGGTGCAATAGTAGAGAGATTATGTGAAATTTGCCAAAGCAAAGTTTTTCATAGTTTATCTAAATGAGTCATAAAATGTTATTTGTATACACTATTAGTATCGCAGCCTGCATTATATTACACACGATCATTTTGTATTTCAGAAACTCCAGAGATTTGCATGTTTTTTTGCATATTGTATAGCGCAAGATTTGTATCATAAATGTGCTTCTTTTTATTTAAGAAAAAAATATGTTGTGTTTTAGGTGTTTCACGTCGAGGTTCATATAATAACCTTTTAATCTCAGTACCATTAATTACCCCTTTGGGTAATTACAAACGGCTGAAAACGGCCATAAGGTCGAGCAAAGTTTTTTGTGTTCCAAAAATGAAGCCAACAGAAAAAAAAACGTTGCCATCTCACACTTTGGAATCTTGTGGCACTGGTCATGGAATTGTGGCACTGCTGTATTTTTTGTGCTGTAAGAAAATGTTACTATTACACGTTGTGTGGTAAAACTGGATGGAGGAATAAAATAAAATGCAGTTTTCATACAAGAAAAATTTATATGATCTTAGATAACTACAATATATTTTCTTAAACTATATTTCTTTTATCAACAAATCCTGCAAGCTCATCAAAACGTACCATTTTATGACTGCTGCTCCCAAACTAACCTCTTGGGTTTTTACTAAAGGCGTGGCTCATTAATGTTTTCTGAAGGAGATTTCATGAAATAAAAATAAAAAATACAAACAGTTTTCAAGGATTACATGTCATGAGTATAACTTTGCAGCAGATGTTTATTCTTTTTTTCTCTTTTCTGTGAAACCAGCCTGTGTGATGTCACTTGATCATAGTCGTCTTGCTAAATTTGAAAGGGAAAGGTTGTGAGGTGCAAAAGTTAGAAGATGTATTATAAAGATCAAAGCCTTAAAAGTGTTCATACTCCCTTTAGGGTGACACAAAAAAACTAAACGTCACTACAAGAAAACATATCTTACGAATATGCAGATTTGGCAAAAGAAATGTCATTTTTGTGTCTGATTTTTATTTGTTCCAAAATTTTGTGAAAACCAAGAGTGTAAAATGGCACTGATCCAGCGGTAAGAACTGTGAATGGATGATCTTTGCATGTGTAGACTGTTGTGTTGTCCCTGAATGAAAAATAAAAGTTTTCTGAAACTGTGATGAGCTGTATCGGTTGTATGCATAAAAAATACAAAATAATGTATGTGCACATCATTTCAGTTTAAAAAAGAAAAGGTTAGATTCATTAAGAAGAATTTATCATGAAATAAGACAAACCTTTAAATAGATAAGAGATTTAAATATTTGCAAATCAAACAAATTGCACTTAATAAATGATTGTCTGTGTTAAGTTAAATCAGTTATGAAATTATTTTGATATCTGATAATATCCCAGGTCTAGTGCAGTTGCCTACCCCGAAAACATCGTTTCTCGTAAGGTGGTCCACTTCTTACAGTAACTATTTAATTATTTTAATGCTTTAATGCAGATTTTGCATTTAGCTGTCGTTCATGGGGTTAATTTTTCTCTCTGATCTCACAAAACAACGCATTTCTGAGCAAATATTTAAAGCTATCTGCCCAATAATATCCCATATCTGTGGTTTCAGACCAGAGTTGAATAATTCAGCATATTAAAACTCCTTATTCTCTCCTTCCAAAAAATAGTTTTTTTTCCTCCTGTGCCCCACCACACTGCCGCTATCTGAATGGAAGTATAGACAAAGCTGTGTGTACTGCTTCCTATAATTAACATCATTTCATTTGGCACTGGAAAAAGAATTTTAGTCAAATTAAAGGACCTATCTTTCTGGAAATCCTACAGAATCTGTGGGACCTCCACAGTTTAAGTGGGGAAATGCAGCACCAGGTAAAGGTTTTCTATGTCCCTGTTCATCTTTCAGTAAATGTGATCACATTTGTATCAAGAAAAAGGGTAAGTATTGTTGGTTGATAACCTCAGTGTTACATTATTCTGATTGAACAGTACAACAAAAACTGTTCAAAACACGTTAAACTATAGAGGTGAAACTGAAATGTTACTAATTTGTGGAGGGTATTTTTAGAAATCAAGTCTACTTTTGAACTGTAAAGACGTATAAAAACATATGTCAACGCTATGAGAGTGTGTGTACTTAAAATATACAATAGGAAGATTCAATGCTGATACAACAACGTCATTTCTTTTTTGAGATTCACACTAAATTTCTACCTAAATTGCAAGCTTTACATCAACCCAGGTGCTGGTGGCCTGTCAATATCAGGAAAGAAAGCTCAGCTTCCTATGAACCTTCTGGGTAAACACAGGCCAAATGTGTCCAATCCATGGAAAATGGCAGAAGCTGTCTCTCAGTGAGAGAAAGACCTTCTCTCTGAATATGCTAAAGGTTTCCCACAGATCTCCACTCTCCTGGAGGCCAAAGTAGAGAACTCTCTATGAACTCCACAGCCAACATACCCAACTGCTGAACAATCTAAGGGGTTCCACCGACCGTCAGGGGCCAGGAGCTCAGTAAAGAGCCGCATTTTTATTATGTTTGTGGGCACTGAAAACCCCAGCGGAAAGTACCAGAACGGGAATGCTTTGCGTCTTGTCGATTTCTTTCCCAAAAATTTCAATTTCTGCTCCGAAATGTGAATTTGTTTGAAATGAACCTTTTCAGTGTCTTTTTTTTTATGGGACGTGTTCATTAGTTTTCTGAAGTCTGAGACAAAAATCGATCCCATGGAGCCATCCAATGTTCATAAATGCGTTTTCCCAAATCATGGAAGAAAAAACTCAACAGATCTAATGTGGGGTGCTTTGAAATGCACATTTGAATTATTTGTCAGTTTCTTCATCCTTCTCATTCAGATAAGGTTTTAAATTTCCAGCATGTGGTATTTAATTATGGATCATCGTTCATTGAATTATTCAGTGTGAATTTCAGATGACTTTGTGGTTCATGACTTTTTGGTATGAAAGCACTCTGGTTGTAGAGGTAATGGATATGCATCTGTATACATGTGTATAAACACATAGTCTTTTAGTTTCTAGAAAGACACTGCATCTATATAGGTATCTATACATCTTGTGGAGTAGTGGAAAAGTTGGAAATTGACAATGGTGGATGTAAAAGTGAGACTGAAGTATAATCAGAGACAATCGCTATAATTTGAAAGGGGCCGACAGACTGTCCTGGATAAAAAATATACCTTGAATAAACATGTGCATGTGTCTTAGTTTAGCTCAAACTCTTACCACAGACCAACTAACCACAGAACAGCTTCCAGTAGAAACCTGTAGCGATAAAAAACTCACAGCCAAACCCCATTTTCTGACACAAAGCGAGATGGCCCGGTGGGAACAACAACTCCTGGAACCAGTCGGAAGAGTGTTTCCTGTGGATATTTCCTCAGGATTACACCTGTTTGTCAGATCAACTATAAAAAAAAAACATCTTGTGTGGGAACAGCTGGATAATGACGGATTAGACTGCTAATCACAGCCTTCAAAAAGATTTGGGACAGTTAGTCAGATGGATTTACATAGAACTGAAAACCTGAACACACAGAATGAGCAACTACTTAAAGGCATTTTATAAAATATTGAATCAGGTTAAATAATCAGCAAAACCGAACAGAAAATTGTGGCAATCAAAGCAGGTTAACTGAAGACGTCTCAATATATTGGAGAGTTGAAAGTCACACCTGTCTTTAAGTTCAAATACTGTAAGTTCAAATAATTTCCCTCTGGAATTATTAAAGTATTTCTGATTCTGATTCTGAAATGGCTGAAACGATGAGATGACAAATCCTCCCTCATTTTGATAAAAAAAACAACAGTACACAAAGCTTGAACATAAAGAAATAACAGAATGTCCTGTGAGCTTTTCACAGTTTGAATTGTGTTTCTAGCTGAAAGGATGGTGAAATGGGTCTGAAAGAGCTGAAAGATGCTGGAGTATACAGATCTGAATAATAGGATAGCAACATTATAAATGCTGACTAGTATTTTGGCAGCTCGAAAAAAAACCCTTTTCAGCTAAAAGCTGTGAAAATGTAAATGAGCTGACTGAGTTTACCAGATGATGGCACGAATTCGGAAAAAATAAAAATGAAGCAAGAAAACTATTTCTAAAGTCTCAGCAAAAATAACTAGAAAAAGTCAATATTGTGGAATAATCTGAAGCTTTAAGGATTTAATAATTTCAAGCCGACTGTATTAATGTTCTGCCTATCCATCCATTTTCCACTCTGCTTATTCCCAACAGGATCT